CTGGACCTAATTGTAGAACTTCACATTTTCCTTGGTGCGTCTCATTTTGAGTTTATCCAATCATGATCTTTTAAACTTCCTTTTTAATGTTTATTTTATTTTTGAGAAAGACAGAGCATGGGCAAGGGAGGGGCAGAGAAAGAGGGAGATACAGAATCTGAAGCAGGCTCCAGGTTCTGAGCTGTCAGCACAGAGTCCAATGTGGGGCTCAAACCCATGAACTGTGAGATCATGACCTGAGCTGAGGTTGGAGGCTTAAATGACTGAGTCACCCAGGCGCCCCTTCCCATCATGATCTTTCAGAGTATATCCTGTCATTCAGATAATCAGAGTTAATACTATTAACATGTGATGATATTATGGTTGTGGGGTTTTTTTTTTATGTCTTTATTTTATTTTGAGAGAGAGAGTGTGAGTGAGGGGAGGGGCAGAGTCAGAGGGAGACACGGAATCTGAAGCAGGCTCCAGGCTCTGAGCTGTCAGCACAGAGGCTGATTCAGGGCTCCAACTCATGAACCACGAGATCATGACCTGAACTGAAGTCGGACACTTAACCGATTGAGCCACCCAGGTACCCCTGGTTGTATTTTTTAATTGAAATTTTGTTGAGGAAATTCTAGATTCACATACAGTTTTAAGAAATAATACAGGGATTGGGGCATCTGGGTAGCTCAGTCAGTTGAGTGTCAGACTCTTGATTTTGGCTTAAGGTCATGATCTCAAAGTCGTGAGATGGAGCCCCACGTTGGGCTCTACACTGACAACTGGGGGCCTGCTTTGGATTCTCTCTCTCACTCTATCTCTGCCCCTCCCCCACTCACATGGGCATACATGCACGTGTTCTTTCTCTCTTTCAAAACAAATAAATAAACTTAAAAAAAAAAAAAGAATACAAGGACCCCAGTTTCCCCTGGTGGTATTTTGCAAAACGATAGTGTAATATCACAACCAGGATATTGACCTCACCGATACAATCCTATCTTGTTCTGATTTCCCCAGTTTTACTTGTACCCATTTGTTTATATGTGTGTGCACAAGTATGTGTATACGTTTGTGTATTTACGACAATGGTCAGCATACTGAAGAGTTCAAACTTCACAATGATACCTTCTGTTGCCTTTTTATAACTATACCCACCTTCCTGTTACCACCCTCCCTTCCCTACTGTTTCTAACCTCTGGCAACCACGAATCTCTTCTCCATTTCTAAAATTTTATAATTTCAAAATGTTATACAAATAGAATCATACTCTATGTATCTTTTTGAGACTGGCTTTTTTAATTCAGCAAAGTTCCCTGGAGATTCCCTAAGTTGTTTTGTGTGTCATTAATTGTTTCCTTTTAGTATTCCATGGATAGATACTCTATAATTTATTTAACCATTCAACTCTTGAAGGGCACATGGGCTGATTCCAGTTTGTCTATGGACATTCCTGTGTAGATCTTTTGTATAGAAGTTTTCATTTCTTTGGGATAAATGCCCAAGAGTGCAATTGCTGGGCTGTATAATAATGACAAGTTTAGTTTTATAAGAAACTGCTAATGTATTTTCCAGAATGGCAAATACCATTTACATTACCACCAGCAATGTATGAGTGATCCATTTTCTCTGCAACCTCCCCAGGATTTGCTTTGTCTTTTTTTTTTTTTTTTGCCATTCCGATAGCTGTGTGTTGCTATTTCAATTGTGATTTTAACTTGCATTTTCCTAATAGCTAATGATGTTGAACATCTGTTCATGTACATATTTTCCATCTGTACGTTCTCTTCAGTGACATGTCTCTTCATGTCTTTTGCCCATTTTCTATTTACTGTTTGCTTTTCTACTGTTGAGTTTTATTAGTTCTTTATATGTTCTAGATATGAGTCCTTTGTAAGATAAGTAGTTTGCAAATGGTTTCTCCCATACTGTAGCTTGTCTTCTCCTTCTCTTGATAGGTTCTTTTGCAGAGCAAAAGATTTTAATTTAGGGGCACCTGAGTGACTCGGTCAGTTAAGTGTCTGACTTTAGCTCAAGTCATGATCTCATGGTTTGTGAGTTCATGCCCTGCATTGAGCTCTATGCTGTCACCACAGAGCCTGCTTTGAATCCTCTGTCCCCCTCTCTCTGCCTCTCTCCTTCTCGTTCTTGCTCTCTCTCAAAATTAGTCAATAAACTAAAAAAAAAGATTTTAATTTTGATGATGCTCAATTATAAATTTTTTCTTTTATGAATCTAGCTTTTGGTGTCAAGAATAAGAACTCTTTGCCTAGACCTGAAAATCTTCTTTGTTTTTTCTTAAAAGTTTTAGAGTTTTACATTTTACATTCCGTCTATGATTCTTTTTTTTTTTTTTTTTTTTTTTTTTTTTTTTGGGAAGAGAAAAAAACCTTAACAAGGGAAGGGTCAGGGAGAGAGGGAGACACAGACTCTGAAATAGGCTCCAGGCTCTGAGCTGGCAGTCAGCACACAGCCCGACGCAGGGCTCGAACCCACGAACCGTGAGATCATGACCTAAGCGAAAGTCGGACGCTTAACCGACTAAGCCACCCAGGCGCCCCTTAAGAGGGCTTTTTTTGCAGATTCTTTGGGATTTTCTTTTTATTTAAGATTTTATTTTATTTTTAATTTTTTTCAAGTTTATTTATTTTGATAGAGAGAGAGTGTGTGCAAGTGGGGGAGTGACAGAGAAAGAGAGAGAGAGAGAGAGAGAGAGAATCCCAAATAGGCACCACAATATCAGCACAGAGCCCAGCGTGGGGCTTGAAGCCACGAACTGCAAGATCATCACCTAAGCCAAAGTCGGACGCCTAACCAATTGAGCCACCCAGGCGCCCCTTTATATTTTCAAAGTATTCTCTACACCCAATGTGGGGCTCACCCTCACAACCCTGAGATCAAGAGTCACATGCTCTACTGACTGAGCCAGTCAGACACCCTGATTCCATGGGATTTTCTATACAACCTATCATGTCACCTGCAAACAGGGAGAGTTTTATTACTTCCTTTCCAATCTGTAATGCCTTTTACTTCTTTTGTTTGACTTATGACAGTTGCTAGAACCTTCAGTACGGTGTTGAATAAAAGTGGTGAGAATGAACATCCTTGCCTTGTTCTTGATTTTAGGGAGAAAACATTCAAGTTTTTCACCATTAAGTAAGATACTAAGGGTAGGTTTTTTTGTAGATGGTCTTTATCAAATTGAGGTAACTCCCTGCTGTTCTTAACTTGAAGAGAGATGTTTTCTTTTTTAAATTATGAATGTTAGATCTTATAAGTACTTTTTCTGTGTCAGTTGATGTGATTCTAAGATTTTTCTTTTTTAGCTTTTTGATATGGTGGATTACATTAATTGATTTTCAAATGTTGAACTAGCCTTACATACCTGGAATAAATTCCACTTCATCATGGTGTGTAATCTTTTTAATACATTATTGAGTTGGGATTGCTTGTATTTTGTTCAAGAAATATATTGTTCTGTTGGAGTTTGGTTTTGTTTTTTAAATATATACTATCTTTGATTTTGGTTTCAGGGTAATACTGGCTTCATAAAATAAGTTGGAAAATTCTTCTATTTTTTGGGAAGAGGTTGTATAAATTTGGTGTTAATTAAAAAATATATATATATTTGGTAATGTTCTCCAGGGAAACCATCTGGGCCTGGAGATTTTATTTTTGAGAGTCTTAAAGTTATGATTTATAGCTGTCTATTTACATAGCTATGTGATACCCATATATCTGACTAGAGAAATATTTTGAATACGTTAGCAGAGGAAGGATGTCAGAGAGGACCATGTACCGCCCTCCTGTGCCACTCCACTGCAGCTGCCTCTTTTCCTTTTCATCTCTGGGCAACTGCAAAATTGAGTGGGGAGGGTAAGAGGCCTTCCTGTGGGTACCCCAGGTGTTTCCTTGCAGGGCAAGCTGTGGATGCAGAGAGTAAGATGGAGGTGTATCACCGGGGTCCTATATTAGAGAAGAAAGGGCATCAGGCAAGATGTCCCCAGCAGTCCCCCATCCCCTCAGGTCACAGGGCTTGATAATGAACCACAGACGCCAATCTGGACATAGGCACAGAGATGAAAAGGCCCCCAGTGAGGGCCCCATGTGCTCCTGATGTTATCACTGCGGTTGTAACAGCATAGGGAGACAGGTGTTGGGGACTAACAGAGAAGAGTGTCAAAGTGAGAGGAGCAGGACTGCGGCTGAAGATCCAGACTGCATCCTGGGCTGCAAGCAGGGGTGAGCCCCAGGACTGTCCGCCTCCATTGGGGTGCAGCTTCAGTGTCAGAGGTCTCTTTGATTCTGTGTGAAAACCGTAGACCCACACTCTGTGTGCACACCCTCGCCACACCACACCCCTGTGTGAGCAGATGCTCGTGTCCCAGTTGCCTCAGGGCCCTGCGGTCTGATCTGGCTCGGTGCCCTTCTGGATCAGACTCCTTCCACTCCTTCCACAGCAAACCTGAGCCTGCACTTCACAGCAGGCAGCTGATGCCCTATTTTACTTTTGGGGGATGTGAAGGGATGTGCTTTGGCACCTGAGGTTGGCAGTAGCAGGGGAAGGACATAATGAGAAAGTGGCAGGAGCCTCATGGGTTTAGTCACATGGTCAGTGGCAGAGTCAAGGCCTGCATCTAGGTGGGTCTGACCTAGAGTTGTAAATAATGTGCTTTAGTTTTCTCACTTATATAGTGGAGAAACTGATGGTCCTTATCTCACAGTATGATTGTGAGGATTAGAAGAGATAATCATGTAACAATGTAACACATGGCCCAGATAGAACATGGTACGTGCTCAAAAATATCAGCCACCGTTATTATTAATGGGAATATGCCGTTTATCACCAAAGACAGAATTACAATGATGATAGAACAATTTAGCATTAACCCAAGTATGATGAAATTAGGATTGTTTCTGGTTCATTAAAATGTGAGGCCTTTCATTAGAAACTAATTTGAAGCTGTGACATTCCCCTGATATGAGCTCCATGTCAGCCTGTCTAACTGCCTCAATCCCAGATGGAGTGGCTGTCCTGCCTGCCCCCCAGAACCTCTCTGTACACTCAACCAACATGAAGCATCTCTTGATGTGGAGCCCAGTGTTTGTGCCTGGAGAACTAATACACTATTTTGTCGAGTACCAGGGGTGAGTTTGATTTGATTTGTTTTGTTTTAAATTTTTGTTTCTTAAAGAGTAGTTGATTCCTGGAGATACGGTTTTCATGCCAGAGCTGAAGGAGGCTTTGTGATCTCAGGGTTAGATTATTTTCCATGATCTGCCTCCTCTGTCTGCATGGCCACAGTTGAAGAAGCAAGGGAAATTGTGCTGTGTATTTGACAGTGAGCTCTCTGGGAATATAAGTGTGTATAAGTGTGTATAATACTACATTGTGGTAGAGCTTCTTTCCAACAGTGAGCCAACTGTCCAATGCTAAAGAAAATCTTAAGAAATGAGTCTGACTTTGACTTGAGGTGGATAAATCATTAGAGTCACAGATCCTTTGGAGGTAAGGGGAGGCCTCGGTTTTCCTGACTATGAGCTTGCCTGTAGGAGCCAAAACAAATCATGATCCTAAAGATCAGCAGGACCTGGGGCCAAGCAAGCTGTACTCTTCTCCAGGTGCCCAGGCTCTGAGAACTGTTGAGTAGGGACAGGGTAACAGAAGCCTCTCAATAGGTTTCATTAACAGAAAATACACACTGAACACCTATGTGTGTAGACATTGCTCTAGGCTCAGGGGTACAGATGACAAGATTTCTAGTTATAGGGAGCTTCCATTTAGAAGAGGAGACAGTAAACAGGTAAAGAAAGAAATACACTAGGTCTATGCTGTCCAATATGGTAGCACTAAACACACATCTCTATTTAAATTTAAATTAATTACAATTACATTGAATTAAAACATCTATTTTTCAGTCATACTAATCACATTGCAAGTTCTTAATAGCCACATGTGGCTTGTGACTACCATATTGAACAACACTGATATGGAACATGTTCTATCCGGCAGCACTGCTCTAGGTAGTTTCGGTAGTATTCACTGTGAGGAGGAAGCTAAAAGGCTGAGGCAATAGAGAGACTCTGAGGATCCTTTTTATTAGGTGGTCAGGGAGGGTCCTTCTGAGGAGACGATGTTTAAGCCGGTATCTGAAGGACAGGAGGAGCCAACCATTGTGAACAACAGGGATGGAGCATTTGAGACACAGTGAACAGGTAGTCCAGGTCCTAAGATAACAAGAGCTCAGCATGGGAGGAATGGCAAGGAGGCCAGTATAGAAGGAACATCACGTTTAGGGGCAGAGAAGGCCAGAGAGTCTTGCAGGTCCCAGGGAAGAGTTTGGATTCTGTTCTAAGTGCTTTGGAAGCCACTAAGAAGAGAAATGTCATGATCTGCTGAGTGATTAATAGTTTAAAGAACACCAGAAGTGGACACTGGAAGATTAGTCAGGAGATCACAGCAAGGCCAGGGATGACAGTAGCTGAGATTGAGGGGGTGCTATGGAGATGGAAAGGCCAGGACAGATGGGGTTTATACCAATGATAAAAGAAGTAAGAAGGAATGGATGGTTGATGAGGGAGGGGGGTGGAGGAACTGGAGTATGGAACAAATGCTTCTTTTGCTGATCATAAAAAGTAAGTGAATGAGGCAGTTACTTGCACCTGTCACTGAGCCTAGGTAAAAGGGGCTGGTGTGACACTATGCCCTTTTCTCCTTGGCCAGAGAGTATGAGAGCCTGTATATGAGCCACATCTGGATCCCCAGCAGCTGGTGCTCACCCACCAAAAGTCCTGAGTGTGACATCACTGATGACATCACTGCCACTGTACCGTACAGTCTCCGTGTGAGGGCCACCCAGAGCTCAGAGACCTCAGCCTGGAGCACCCTGAAGCATCCCTTTAATCGAAATTCAAGTAAGGCACTTCTCTTCTTACTCCCTCATCCCTATTGGCCCCTCCTTGGGGAATCAAATTCACTGAGAGTTTCAGGATTCTTGTGAGCATCAATTGGCCTTGAATACAAACAGTCCTGTTTGTTTGTTTGTTTGTTTATTTATTTATTGTAAATGTTTATTTATTTTGAGAGAGAGAGAGAGTGTGTGGGTGTGCATCTGTGGGTGGGGAAAGGGCAAAGAGAGAGGGAGAGAGAGAATCCCAAGCTGATAGCTCAGAGACCGATGCAGGGCTCCATCATGACCTGAGATGACATCAAGAGTCGGATGCTTAACCAACTGAGCCATCCAGATGCCCCCTAACTGGTCCATTTACAAAATTGCCAACTGCTAAAATAAACAAACAAACTAATAAATTATTAATAAAAAATTGCCAACTGCTTCCCCCATGCCCTCTCATTCTGAAAGAGACTTTGGAAGTCATTCCTACTGTCTCTGTCAGGGTCTGAAGGTGGTGGGTAACATGGAAGGGATTGGGTAGAAATCAGAACATCAGGGAGCCCAAGGTGGAAGGGATGAAGAAAGTGAAGACAGATTTGAAGGGAAGTTGGCCCTCTAGAGCAGAGCAGTATGATTCAAATCCTAGCTCAGCCACTTGATAGCTGGGCTCCTGCCTCCTCGCCCATAAGAAGAGTAATAGTTTGCCTTGCTGGGTAGTTGTGGGGACCATAAGGTATACACATAACATATAACACATATACACATATATGTGTAACATATACACATATAGTTATGTGTATACCTTATACACATAAGGTATAATGTGTAAGTGTTCAGGACAGTGCTGTCCTATCATAGCACTCAGCTATTGGTAAGTGTTATTATTATTGCCCCAGGGATGCCCAGAGTTGAGAGCCAGAGAGCAGAGGAGGGAAGAGGTGGGGGCAGAAGTGAGACCCCCAGAATGGGATATCAATAGGAATTTTGGGGCAAAATGTGGGCTTCTCTGACCAGGCCTCTTTCCCAGGCACTGAGAGCAGATACAGTGGGAGCAGTGGGATCCCAGTATGAGGCACTGGCAGAGACTGAGGGACAGTGGAGGGTGCAGTGCTCAGGCAGCACCCAGCACCACCTCTCTCCAGCTCCTGGGAGCCTG